AATAGGGTGTTGGGGGGGGGGGGGGGTTGGTTGTTTGCTGGCTTGTTTTTCTTTTGTTTTTGTTGTTGCTTTTGCCTGCTCACATTTTATAATCGAACTAGTCTTAGCTCTGTGCCCACACAAAACCCGAGCCTGGATTTGCCCTAGTTTGCCAGCCCAAAGGGAGTATATTAACACATCAGCCTTTTTCTTACAGGCACCTTAAATGCTTGTGAATTGTTGTGTTGCAAACCTGCTGGCCCAAACTGGACTGCGTAGGACTGGAGGTGGAACACCGGCGGAGGAGTCTCCAGTCTGCGTGACCGCCTCCCACACTTAACTGCCAGCAGCGGCCCGCGGTCGATCACAGTCTGTCCCGGCGCAAGAGGCGAAGGGGACACTCGGGGGCCGCCGTCCAACGGCTGCAGCTCGAAGCCCGCGCACATGACCCGACCACAGGGTCCCGCCGACCAGAACGGCTGTGGACACCAGGCTCCTTCCACAGGCGCACAGCCCTCACTCCGCCAGGCTTTCCTGGCTTCCGGAATCCCGCCTCCGCTTCCTGTGTCTCGCTTCTAGCCAGTGACTCAGGGGTATCCTCCACCAGCCGGGACCAAATTATAAACCGTGGCTTCCATCCACGGCCTCTGTCCCTTCCACCGCACTCGGGATGCTGGGCTCCTGGTCCTTCCATGCCTCCTTGCTCTGAAAACTACCAGTCCCAGAAGGCCATGCGCGAACGTCTCTGCGTTTGTGCTCTGGGCGCCAGAGGGTCAGGTGTCTGAAGGCCTGAGGAGAGGGTTCCCAGCCAGGAGAGGTGTTTTTGTTTTCTGTTTTATTTCAAAAGGAACTTTCCTTTCATAAACTACAATGCCATAATAAAATATAAATTATACGCAGCAACCCAGTACACACAATTTTAACAATACGTGCAAATTAAAAGTTCTACAACACAATGCTTACTCTCATAATACCTCTTGCTTTGTGACTTTTCTAGTCTATCATGTTTTTCATTGCTGTTGGGATTTGTTTTGTGTGTGGTACCGTGCTGGGGTGGAACACTGGACCTCGGACATAGTACACACACTCTACCACTGAGCAACAGTTCCAACCCCTTCTTGTCTTCTGTTTGCTTTTAAAGGATTTTCTAATTATGTGTGTATGTGGGGGTGGGAGATTATGTACATATGTGGGTATAGGTGTCCGTGGAGACCAGAAAAGGGCTAGAGTTACCTGACATGGATGATACGAACTGAACATGGATCCTCTGTAAGAGCAGTAGCACTCTTTTTTTTATATACATATTTTATTATTTTTATTTTATGCGTATGAGTGTATTGCCTGCATGTAGGTAAGTGCACCCGTGTCCTGCAATGCTTGCGGAGGACAGAAGAGGCTGTCGGATACCCTGGAACTGGAGTTATGGACAGTTGTTAGCTGCCATGTGGGTGCTGGGATTCCAACCCAGGTATTCTGTAAGAACAGCCAGTGTTCTTAACCACTGAGCCATCTCTCCAGGGCTGGAGAAGTAGCACTCTTAATGTCAGCCAGGAGAGTTTAAACAGAGGGACTCAGCTGGTCACCCGTCAACCTACAGCAGAGGGTCCTCCTTTCCCTGTGGAGGAGGCCTGTCCAGTGCAGGGCCCTGGGGTGGGAGTGGCTTTGCTACCCTGTGGAGGAGGTCTCAGTTTCCCCTAACCCTGCAGCAGTGTTAGGAGTTAGCGAAGGGCAGGCAGTTAGGGCAGAGGTCGGAATGTGCTGGAATGTGTCAAAGCAGGGCCATGCACCAAAAATAAGACTACCCGTCTAATAGGATATGTTTAACTTATCTCTATCCTGGCCGGGTTCATCCGGGGCAAGAAAGAGGGGACCAAAGGAAAGACCTAGGGACCCTGTAAAAGAATCAGCCGGTCTAGTGGCTCTGGAGATCCCATCCCACACGGTATCTTTAGCTCTGGCTCTTTACTCTCTGCCTCAATAAAAGCCTGCTTTCACCCTTTTCTGAATCTTTACTTCATCTCTCAGTGTTCAGTTCTTTCTCTTCCTCTGGGAAGAAGCTGCACTCCAGGGCAACTAGGTTTCAGCTCTCACCTGTATGACAGCACAAAGTTTTTCACTACCTCATGTGGGAGGCTTGAGCTAGAGTTATGGTGGATGGTGTTTTCCTTCCCATGCAGGATTCTTGTGCTTATTCGGGGATTTGAGGAAGGTGGGTCCTCCCTTCTTTCAGACCAAACGTGGCTCAAGTGCTTGGTCCTGAGGTAAAAGGGTCTTTCCTTCCTTATGGAGGAAGCCTGTGCTAGGCTCAGGGCTTTTCAGCTCAAGGACTTTCCTTCCTGGTAGAGACCTTGCTTGGAAACCTGGCCAAGTGACTAGCAGTACTCACCCTGTCATCATAGAAGGCCCGTTTGAGACCTCAACCTGTAGCAAGAGTTCTTCACTTTTGCGAATGGAAGTTCCCAAAACACCATGCATCTTCAAACTAAACTTTGTTCTTCAAGGCTGATTAACTGATTTGAGCTCCAGTGATTGTGGAGAGTTTGAAAAGTTGCAGATCCAGAGCAAAATTACCATTTACCTTGGGCTAGCTTTAGTCCCTAAATAGCTACTTCCTTGCTCATCTGTTCTGACTTAACCTCCTGTGACTAACAGATTAAAAACCTTTTGGAAAGTATTAAACTAGCAGACCACCAGCTCCCACCAACTAAAAAGCTCAGATAGCATCTGAGATTTAAGTAGAATTTACCACCCCCTGCCGGTGCCAGCCGGCCAAGACGGACAGTACCTGAAAGGGGGAGTGAGGATTCAAAGAAAGAACAAGAGACAGAGAAAAGATACTTGGGAGGACTGTCAGTAGAGACTGTAGCCCCGGTTTATTTTAGTTCCGCCTTTTTATACAGAAGAACATCAGCTATAGCCACTGTTTGCTTAGCTCAATTAATTTCAACAGCTGTTTTTCCCACCTGTATCTGAGGGTCAAGGAGCGGTCAAATACTTGTGAGCTCTACCATATAAACACATTCCTCCTGACTTGGCAGATTAGGCACTGGTGTGCAAAACACAAACTCTAAGTAAACAAGCCTGCCACAGCTCAATGTACATAATGGGTTAATAGCTCCCAACAACCCCCACCCACGCTCACACTCCCCCCTCCCCTCCCCACCTTTGCTATAACCCGCCTACTGAATGTACTCACTAATGTATTTGAAGAGTATGTTGATTTATGAACTTCTTTGTTCTGTTACTGTAAGAAGTTCATGAAATTGCTACCTCATTGGAACATGGTATTTGGGGAAGCCAAAATCTGTGTTCCTGGGCCATGGTCACTCATATTTGGCTCCAAACAAGCCATCTCTTTTATTGTTTTGAAATAAGAGCTGTTAATTTCATCGGCACCCTTATATACTGCTGGTAGGAATATAAACTGAAGCCACAAAGGAGATCATTATGAAGATTTTTCAAAAAACTAAAAATAAAACTAGAATGTGATCCAGGTTGACTACTCGTTGGGTATGTACCCAAAAGAATCTAAGTTCCTGAAGAGATGCTTGCACATCTTTGTGTTTATTTTCTGCACTATTGAAAATAGCCAAGGCATGGACACAGTCTAAATGCTTATTAACAGATGAATGGATAAAGAAAATACAACATATATATTTATATAATATTTACAATTTGTGGGTGCATGTGTGTGTACTGTGAAACGTACATGGATAAGTAAATACAGGGAAGCTATACTAATATTTTGCTGGGCATGGTGGTGCATGCCTTTAATACCAACAGAGGCAGGTAGATCTCTGGGAGGGAGATCTGCATGGTGACTTCCAGGCCTTCTGAGGCAACAGGAAGACCCTGTCTCAAGAAGACCAATTTATATACATAAGTATTAGGGTTCTGTAAAGAAACAGAACCAATAGAATGAATATATATGTATAATACTATATATATATATATATATATATATATATATATATATATATATAGATTTATCAGATTAACTCACAGGATAGAGTCCTAGTAGTCCAACAATGGCTTGCACCACACTGAAGAGGCTGAGAATCTGGTAGTCACTCAGCCCACAAGGCTGGATGCCTCAGTAGTCCCAATCTGGGCTGAAAGTCTGATGAATTCCAAAAGATCAGCTGGTCTTCAGTCTATAGCATCAAGACAAACTCACCAGTGAAAGACAAGCAAGTCGCAAAAAGCAAGCGCTCTCCTCTGCCATGACTTTTTATACCATCAGCGGGTAACACCATCAGAAGGTAACACCGACATTTATGGTGTGTCTTCCAGCTTCAGATGATTCAATCTAGAAGATCGCTCTCATTTCAGTTAATCCCACATCCAGTCAAGTTGACACCCAAGATTAGCCATCACAAGTCCACCCCTTGTCAACTTGACACCCAAATTTTCAAATGAAAATAATGATGACGGCATAACTTCACCTAACATGATATGACTATCCCATCATACAATGACCAATGCATTATATATCTTAGAGTAGGTGATAAGGTCTTTGAGGAATGCTTAGTCCTTTAGTGTCTCATAACATAATATGATCATATAGGTTCACAACACTTAACCATTTAACATTTATCTCAATTACACATTCAAAGAACAACACAAGAATCTGCTTAACATATGTGTATATATGCACAAGCCTATTCTTAACCAAATAAGACAAAACACTCATGCCAATTACAATCCACATCTCTGCAACCGGCCACATGGCCTAAGTTGATACTTATAACTACCTTTCTCTACTACCCCATTCTGTATTTCCTCTACCATCAGCAATCACCTCTGCAGGTTTTGGCTCTTTCTCTGGAAGAGTGATCCATACTTCCATCCCTGAAGGGTCTGGGCCATTTGTTATCCTGTCTGAGTTGTATTGTTGCAGTTTCCAATTGATCTTAATCATAGGACAAGGTAACACCAAAAGTTTCCCTGAGGAATCTCCTGCCTTCCAGATATAATCTTTATTATCTCCACTGTGGATTACTAGTCCAATTTCCCCCTGGTAGTCTGGGTCATCCCACTGAATACTGTTATTCCTTTCTTAGCCTGCTGACTTAAGGGCATCACAAGCCCAAAGTGGCCAGGGGGAAGTCTTAGCTTCCAGTTCAAAGGAATGTTTATTGTGTCTCCTGGCAGAGGCACTCCCTCCTCTGGAACCAAAACTTCTAAGCCAGCAGAGTGCAAAGTCATGGGTACAGGAAGCAAAAATTTCCCTAGGGGGGCACAAGTGGTGATAGTGAGTGGAATAATTTCCACTTCCACCCCTTGATTCCTGGACCCGCGAATCCTGGCTATAGGAGAAACAGTACCATATATTGAACACTGGTTCAAAGCATATACCACCTTCTGGAGGACCCTGCCCCAGTCCTCCAGGCCACTGCCACTTAGTTGGCACTGTAACTGTGTCTTTAAGAGACCATTCCATCACTCGATCAAGCCAGCTGCTTCAGGATGGTGGGGAACATGGTAAGATCAGTGGATTCCATGACCATGGGCCCACTATCGCACTTCTTTGGCTGTGAAGTGAGTTTCCTGGTCAGAGGCCATGCTGTGCAGAATACCATGATAGTGGATAAGGCATTCTGTAAGTCCCTGGATGGTAGTTTTTGGAGAAGCATTACCTGTAGGAAGGGAAAATCCATAACCAGAATAAATGTCTATTCTTGTAAGGGCAAAGTGCTATCCCCTTCAAGATGGAAGTGGTCCAATGTAGTCTATCTGCCACTAGGTTGCTGGCTGGTCACCATGAGGAATAGTGCCATATTGGGGGCTCAGTGTTTGTCTCTGCTGTTGGCAGATCTGGCACTCAGCAGCAGCTGTAGCCAGGTCAGCTTTCA